AAATCTTCATGGAGACGTTTGTTCTTCACATACGGGTGTGCATTTGTGATAATTCTTAAAAATTGGTTTTGCACAACTTGTAATTTTTGGATTTCACCCTTCGTAGCGGTAGTCCATGCTGGCGAAGCGTACGTCATGATGGGTCGGATTGTGGCTAGATAAATAAGTCGTTTCTTGTCCAACGAAAGTTTTGAATATTTCCCTATCATGGGATATAAACATTTCATGACTTTAATCGCTTTATCCCTGATTTGTTGGATGTGATGCTGCCATGTGAGCTTGTCGTTGATGGTGATGCCCAGATATTTGGCTTGTTTCACGATAGGCACAGCCTCGTTAAAAAGATAAACACTTTGCCTGATCGGAACATTTTTCTTCCTTTTCCTTATGAGTAGGAGCTGCGATTTTTGAGCGTTAATTCGTATCTTCCAATATCCACACCATTGTTCTATGGAGGGAATAGTGTCTTGGAGTTTCCGAATAGCATGATTGATGTTAGCAGACTTCACTGCCAGGGCAGTGTCGTCTGCATAACAGGCTAGCATAGAATTATGATTTAAATGCAATGTCGGAAAGTCTGAAACGTAGAATAGATAGGGCCAGTCACAGAACCCTGTGGAACACCGCTAGTCATTATTTTAGTGCTGGATAATTCATTTTTTACCGAGACTCTGAATGTCCGATCCCTGATAAAAGAATGGATTAGCAGAATGAGTTCTCTGTCCAGTTGAAGGTAAATTAATTTAGCAATTAAGCCCTCATGCCAGACGCGGTCGAATGCTTTCGCCACGTCTAGCATGAGTATAGCAACATTAAGTTTGCAGTGCAGAGCTGCACCACAGCGAATTCGGTTATTCGGACAAGTTGCTTCGTTGTTGAGAGGTGAGCACGGAACCCAAATTGTTCCGGCGGAAGATGCTGAAAATATGGTTTCAGTCTATTCAGGATAATTCTCTCAAAAATTTTGCCTAAGCCCGGCAGTAGACTAATAGGACGATATCCGTCTGGTCGGGTGTGATCTTTAGCCGGTTTAGGTAGTAAAATAATTTTAGCAATTTTCCAAGGTGTTGGAAAGTAAGAAAGAGCAAGACAAGCATTAAAAATACTTGTCAGGCTGCAGATGATGTTAGGCGGCAAATTTTTAATTGCTGTATTGCTGATTTCATCAATTCCTGGAGATTTCTTTTGTCTCAGGTGTTTGATAATATTAGTCGTTTCAGTAGGAGTGGCATATTTAATTGGGAAGTCTGACTGAAGGGGCGTTGAGCCAATCCCTCACTCGTAGGAGGGTCTTTAATTCGAAATCAGAGTCATTTGGCCAATCATTTGGCGAGAACTGTTCTTGGAGGTGTGCTGCGAAGATTTCTGCCTTTTCCTGATTGGAGATGGCAATATTACCTCTGTCATAGAGGGGTCGATTACTTGTGAAGGAAGTTTTAAAATTTTTGATTAAAGACCAGAATGTACCTTCTCTAGAATCCAGATTTAACATTTTATCATCCCATAGTTCTTCTTTGAAGGTTTTAATGGCCTTCTGAATTTGCTTATTTTTACGATTTATTTCACGTTTAAGTGCCGGGTCCCACGTTAAATGATAACATTTCCTGAGTCTATTTCGCTCTCTCATAAGCTGTCGTATATTAAGGGGCAGTCTGAAAGCCTTATCACGATTAGTAATTTCAGTACTGGCTTCCTTAATTGCACCTTAAATGCTTTGGTGTGCGCTGAACGCTGGACTTCCCTAACATTATCCAAATAGTAATCGACGACTGCTGGATAACTTGGACTTCTTCACATCCTCGGCAGGTTTTTATACGAATAGAATGCGCTCCCTACTAGGCCTTCTGAGTACTTCTAAAAAGGTATTGATGATTAAAAAATAATAATAATGATTGAAAAATATACTATAACTTGCTGCATACTAGCCCCCCCCCATATTTTACTAGCTTTAACACTGCAGAGAATTCAGACAGTACATACATTTATTTTAACTGTAAGGTTATTATTATTTTTCATTTACATTCATATTATGTTTGGAAGTTTACTATTCACTTCTCCCTTCCGTTTTCTCCCCAGAAGGCAAATTAGACTGAGTATTTAAACTGAAGTTGTTAGATTCTAAGACAGAGCGTGTTTCTGCTTGTGTGTGCGAATGTTAAGTTTCCCCCCAGTTCTGATAGCCTGAATTCCTTGGCTTTGCATTATTTGCTGCCAATATTTGAATATTTACCCCGGCTAGGTTTGTGAGCCAACTTCACGTTAAATTGAATGTTGTAGTATGTGACTACTAGCTTATTTAAATTTAAATTACATTTGATTTTTATTTAATATTATCTAGCCATAAGGTTTGGCTGGGTGTGTGAGCACCACGTGTGCATTCTGTTCTATATCAGTTATAATAAAGGGTTCTTTACACCCTTCTTAGTTATTATTTTAGACTTAGCGATAATTAGCTGTAAGTATATCTAGAGTCTGGCAGAGTTAGTCTAGCACTGGCTGGCAGACTAACAATTAGTCTAGCATTGGCTGGCAGCAGTCTAGTCTGGCACATATCTAGAGTCTAGCACATCTAAAAAGATCAGACTTTATATTGGCGCTCTACCAAAAACTCGGACTATGGTACAACAAAACGTAACTTTTAGTTTGCCTCCTCCCAGCATCACAGGCTCTACCGGCAACCACAAATCCAGTGGAAGGATTCGGGTTCATCGTGGATACGATGCGAGCGTCGATGAAATCAGCAGTGACTTTTAATGGTTGAAGTTCCATAATGAATTTTTTGGAGCAACGGAATACTCATTTTTTGCTATACCCAGTTGGAGAAGTATAAAAGGTCACCATATTAAACACCGCACTGCGAGGACAGGCATTATTCGGTGAACAGGCAGTGAGAATTTCCACTCGAAGCATTTAAAGCCACCCTAGTAAACGCATTTTCCGTGATGAAAGATAGAACCAAACTAGAAGCATAACTGTTTAGTAGATACCAGATTAAGGTCGAAGAACTGACCGAATTTATGTTGAGTAAAAGACAACTGGTAAATTTGTTGTACTGGAAAAAAAAAAAAAAAAAAAAAGCTGATGCGGAAGTCATACCTGCATAGTTTATTACCACAAATTCAGAACTTAGTGGAATTGCGCAACCCGAGCATGCTCAGAATTTATTTGAGCTCACAGTGAAGTTTTGAAAATAGGAGGATATTAGCAAGTAAGCACACATCAGGATATGACCAGAGGTCAAATGCATATTTTCGTAGGCCTACAGTGCAAGGAAGCCCACGGTCCGATGACGGTAGACAGTTTGACAATAGAAATTTGTTTAAGATTCTGTCTTTCATTGAAAGTTTGTAAATCATAACTTTTATCCTATAATCCATGGTAAAAAAATGGCTTGTTAAGGATTCACATCCATAAGTAATATCATTCTTAGAAAACATGGTCGTTCACATGAAATCACCGTTTTTACGTGAAAGATTTCAACATTAGGTTATAAAGTAAAACACTCAGCCCGCATTCGAGAGGTCCAGGTTCGAGTCCCGGCGAAGGCACTGCTCATTTTTCACGTTCCCTGCATCAAAATAGTCAGTTACTCGACAAGTTAAAAGCAATATTTTGCTATAATAGCTATTTTTTAAATTGAAATGAATAGTTTCACAAAATGCTAGCTGCATGTAATGTTTTCATTATTCTTGTCGATTATTTTATAACCGGTAAAAGATCTTATTGCTAAGTGCAAGCAGCCGGTAAAAGATCTTATTGCTAAGTGCAAGCAGAGCCGAAAATATCCTGCAGTCAGCTCATTCTTAATTCATGTTATAAAACAGAAATATTACTTACAAAAAAGATATAGTATATTATGTAGAATTTAAAAAAAATAACTTGATATTATTATGAAAACGACAAAACCACGTAGTACGAAGATGTAGAGGCAAAAACAAATGTTACTTAAGAAATAAGTGAAAGACCAAAAGATATACCGTAAATAAAGAATGCTATACAGAAATATAATTTCACGTAAAAACGGTGATTTCAATTAATCATTACTGATTACAAAACATAAGGTAAACAGTTTAGAGATCTTTTTGCAGAATCTTTCATGAATCCTACGATAATTCTGAACTTAAAAAAAATAATTTTTAAGTAACTTTATATTTGTGATGTGTACTGGAAACCTAAATAGTCATTGCATGCATTTCATAAATTCAAATGAATGTTTTGGAGGTAATGTATAGCAACATGATACATAAACAAGAAAACTAGAAAGTCTAATTTGTATGCGTAAGACACAAAACTATATTATGAAAGAGACAAAAAAGATTTAATAGCGAAATTTTAGGGGTAGGTGGGAATAAACTGGATACTTTGAAAACAAAGCAGCTTCTTGTTTAAGGAATGCGATACCCCCCTCCTCCTCCTAATGTTTCATCCTTGTTAGCAGAGTCTAATCCCAAGTAACTAATCGAATCGTTCGAGTAATCACTTTTCCATAATGAGTCCTATAAATCATTAGTAGCCAGCTTCAAAGAGTTCGCGAAAATCTTAAAAAGAACAAAATCATAGAGCTGTAAAAGAATATCACAAAATCAAAAACTACGAGAGTCGAAAACACGCAGTCACCACCATGCTACACATTCACAGCATCAAGTGTTATATAAAGGGGAAGAAAAACTGCTTTCCAATAAAAACTGTTTCGTAAGCTCGGGCTAATCATATGTTAACCCTTTATGCTCCGACGGGACTTGTAAGTACCAAATAATATTAAGTCAAATAAAATTAAAAGTCTTCCATGAATTCCAGCAGGACTTTTAAGTTCTTTCATTTAACCTTCTTTTAATGATCAGTAGATGGCAGCACTATATAAACGGTTTGTTTCTCATGGATATGGGTGAACAATTTCGTCGTAGGGCTCAGTTTGAATGGCCATTTTGATAGAAAGCTATTAACGTACTTCGAAGCTTGACTCTGAAAGCGATTCAAGTGAAGACACTGAAAGTGAAAAAATGACACCAAAAAGAATTTGGAAGGAAAGAGATTGTACATCAACTATCCCTATATTTAGCTTATCTCATGGAACAAGTGCATCAGCTTTCGAAGGTAAAACATTGCCTACCGATTTATTTTAACATTTTTAGAAGATGAAATTATAAGTAATATTGTACGTATTTCAATAAAACTCTATTCAAATCCAAAACAAAGGAATATAAAGCCTATTTCTAAAAAGGAATTTTATGGATTTTGGGGACTAAATATGCTATTTAGCTACCACCGTTTACCTCGAGTACGAAATTATCGGAGCAGTGATATACATTATTCTGTACCTGTTGTTCCTGATACTCTTTCACGAAGTAGGTATTTCCAGATATTAGGTAACTGTCATGTAAATGACAATGAAGTAATACCAAAGCAAAATACTGATAGACTGTATAAAATTAGACCACTTATGGATAAACTAAATAAAAATTTTCAATCACTGAGAATGCCTCATCAAACACAAAGTATAGACGAAAGCATGATATTATTCAAAGGACGCTCTACGCTCAAATAGTACAATCCTAAAATACCAATAAAAAGAGGATACAAACTATGGTGTCGTTCAGATATATCAGGTTACATGTATGAATTTGAAGTATATCAGGGAAAAGAGGATTCAGAATTCAAAAGATTTGGTCTAGGAGGGAGTATAGTTCAGAAATTAACTAAATCTCTTGTAAATAAAAATCACATCATAATGATGGATAACTTTTTTTTCCTCTGTGGAATTGTATAAATATCTAAAATCTGTTGGTATATATGCATGTGGAACAGTACAAAGTAATCGTAAAGGTTTACCGTCTCTTGCAGTAGATAAAGCTTTGAAAGGAGTGATTTTGTCTGTCGCATAACAGACCAAGGAATTTCATACTTCAAATGGAAAGACAACCGCTGTGTTTTTTTTCTTGTCCAATTACCATGGAACTGAAATTTGTAAAATTCAAAGAAAACAAAAAGATGGTTCAATTATGGAATTACCAGCTCCTACAATAGTAAGAGATTATAACAGTTATATGGGAGGCGTGGATAAAAGTGACATGTTAAAATCACTATATGATAGAGATAGAAAGGCCAAAAAGTGGTGGCATTGTCTTTTTTTTTTTTTTTTTTTTTTTTTTTTCGGTATTATAGAAATTGCAATGGTAAACTCGTATATTTGCTACTGTGACATACAAGATAAAATACCTCTTCTAGAATACAAACGAAGAGTAACACAAGGTCTAATAACAATGTCAAAAGTGCCTTCGAAGAAAAAGGGAAGACCTAGATCAGATGCTGGAGAGATAAGTGAATTACCACCCCCAAAGAAACGCAAGATAGTAAATTTTTCTGTTTCTGATGACATAAGACAACAAAACAAAGGTGCACATTGGCCAGTATTTGTAAAAAAATAGAGGGCGGTATGAGTTTTGTGCTTCGAAAAATATTGAGTCACGACCACATTCTCAGTGCACATTATGCAAAGTATTTCTTTGTGTTAATGAAAAAGAACTGCTTTTATCAATACCATAATTAATTGTATAAAAATATATTACTTTTCATTTAGATTTAATATTTTTTCTTCTTCATACTAATGGATGTAATGGCAATGTAATATTCTGTGTTATTACAATAAAAATAATTATTGTAAATCAATCTCAATTTTTGTATGCTTTTTCTATAGTTAAATTGAGCATAAAAAATATATTGCACAAGTTTTCTAAAAATATCATAATTTGGGACATAAAGGGTTAAGCGTTAAAAGATCCTGACTATACCCGGGTGAATCACTAAGGGATGGTTTCCTCAACTCGACGTAATTCAGGCGAACCAGGGAAAGGGTAAATTATTAGTAGCAGTTACGTAAAGCTAACGTACTATATTGAAATAAATAAACTTCACAAGCAAACGATAACACTACTTTATATTCACGCCCACCATCAATCTGTAAGTCATCATCATATATCTATCCATCTACTTATCTATCTTTCTCTATATAATTCTTCCTAATTGTATATAGAAGGAATAGTAACGGTATGTATAAATACAATTTCGAAATTTTGAAAATTGGCTCATAGCAATTTATAACCTTCCACTATTCACCGAAAAGTTATGACAAATATATGTTATTTCAATTAACGTCTTTATGCGTTATTTGGTGCCAACGTTTAAATGAATTTTTTAAGTAATTTTTAAGTTATATACTGAAGTTAGAAACATCCTTAGCGGAGCGTTTTTTATATGTTTTTTGCCCGTTATGTTACCTTAAGTTACCATGGGCGCTGGATTATTATACTTTTACTTTTGAGCTATATAGACCTATCATCTACCCAACTTAGCAAGAGCTGCTACTGCAAAAAACATAAAGTGTTTAATTTATCTTTCACACTCCTCTTGCATAACCAGTTTTCAGTATGTTGCCATTTAGAAAATTGTGGAATCTTTAATTTTTCTTTCCAGTTTGATCAATCTGTTGCTGTCTGCCAAACTGAGGTTAAGGAAACCGAAGTTAAACTGAGGAAAGCAATTTAATTTAATTTTTAATTGCTTAAATATTTATTTTATTTTTTAATATTATATGTAAGTAATATGCAAATTAAAATACATTATATTAGTTAATAAAAGATATTTCTGGAGCATTGCATTCCCAGTAAAAAATGTTTTTGATTCTTTTCTAAATTCTTAAATTTGGAATTTGTTTTATTATCGATTTCATATTTTGCAAAATATTAACGAATTTTTGATTTACAAACTCAGCACGTGAGACTGTGTATCGAAAATTCTAAAGATATGCTCAATTTAAAATTATTTTCCGATATTGCTCTTGAACTGAATTTAATGATTTAAGTGCTAAGAACATGATAACATGAAGTAAAGGTAACACACAAAATGTTAAAAAGACGCCCTTTTGGACGTAATTTAAAATCTGAAACTTTTTCTTTTTCTTTTCTGTTGTGTCCTAATGGTTACAAATAACAAAAAAAGAAGACGCGTATTAGACAATTTTTCATTATCTGAATATCTGGCAACGATAATCTTGTTCTTTAGTTTAACTGATATCTTTTATTTTTATTAAGATTTTGAATAGTATCTGTTCTAAAATTATAGCCGTTTGGTTTTGCTTTAGAACTATTCATTGGGAATTTATTAAAATAACTAAAATGTTTGATTTTAACATATGGAACTTTGTGCAACCCTCTCCAAAACTTAACATCAAAGACAAATATGTTGCTAAAAAGGTAAGCTTGAATAAATAAATATCCAGAAAAATAAATCATGTAAATGCAATTTCAGTATCTAGAGAGTTTAAAGAGTTTTTTTTTTTTATTATTATTTTAAGAGTGGTAACTGCTATTTTAAGAATTAAATTTATTAAAAAAATTATGTAATTTTTTACTTTCCAGTCAAAGGAAAGTACTTTTGAAAATTAAGTAAAAATTTTTACTCCTGGAAATTCATTCGAGCGTAAATTGCTATATTAACTAAAGAAGCCCAATTATTTCGTCAAATTATTCATTGTTATATAGCATTATTTTCTGTTATTTGCCGGAAATAACGAAAATATATTGCCTCGGTTAAAATCCTTATTTGACTACTCATTATTTTATTACTTTATTATTCATTCTTACACACATATATCATATATGAATGTATGCTCATAAAAGTTATCAGAGATTTGATATCCGGAAATATCCAAAATTTTACTAAACTTATAAAGGTATTCTTCCTGTGAAGTATACCTAGTGTTACCATTTATTTAGTGTTTCTATTGCACTAAATATTACTTTTTCAAAAATAAAATGTTGAAAATAATGATCGGACACTTATTTTCTATCAAATTAAAATAAACAAGTAAATTTTATTTTAATTGAAGAATTTATTGGTTGATATTTCTTAATTCTTAAAAATAGGATTTATACTGTTTTGGAATAAAATTTACAAAGATTTTTTATTATTTCGAGCTTAACTTTTCTTTCATTAATTTTATTTGTTGTTTAAATGCTAATTATTTATTTTGGATTTTATATTCCATTTCTTGACAAATATATCTATAAGGTTTATATTTAGATATTGAAGAGATGTTTTGAGTATTTTACCAATAACCCACAGTTGAAATCAGTATCCATAAGTAGAACTGGGAACTATTTTGTAGAATAAATTTTTGTGCCAGCCGTTTAAATTTAATTATCTCAAACTCTCTCTATGTGTATACTGGCCCACTACAACATGTTAAAAATGTATTTTTTGATCGAACTAAATCCAACGGCGAACATTTTGCATGATCTGATCGCAAGTGGCAAACTTTATGCCAAAATTTTTTAATTTCGCGAAATTTACAAAACAGCGTTGTATTACCAAATATCGTAGATTTGTATATTTACAATTTCCTTTCCACATTGATGTGTCAAATGATACATTGTTAAATGTATCATTTAATCAAAAAGTTAAATGATACATTGATGTATCATTTAACTTTTTTATAATATGTACTTCTAAATTAGTAAATGTACTTTTAGTTTACTGGAGATGTCAAACAACAAGAATCAGCGTTATAGTTGTAAATTTTGCAGGACTAGTTTCGATGGTTTAGCAACAAAACCAGCTTCCTCAGCTGCCAAAATGCAAATGAACGAGATAAGATAAGAATGGCTTGACAGGAGTTAAGCTATTCGCGCCATCTATTGATGAAACAAAATTAAAACATAATTTACTTAAAGCCTGAAAGTAAAGACGGATTGGAATTAGGGTCATTAACTAAAACAGAAAGATTTTTTGAATGTGAAACGCTCGTAGAAAATCTTATTCACCATTGGAAGCTATTTTTTGAATAATTTTGTCTGTAGAAAAATGGAAATTATGATTTTCGAGCCAACAGTGCTGGGCAACAGAGGTTTGCACTTCTGTGATTCCTTTTTCCTACATATGCCTAATGGTAACGCGAAATTTTAAGGCTGTCTTAGTTTGACCAATGTAAATTAAACCGCATTGGTAAAGGAATCCTGCAAATACCCCAGGAATTCATATTCGGAATGGGTTCCTTAAGTAGGGAACTGAGAATTTTATTCATAGGGGAATAAACCACCCGAAAGTTAAATTTCTGTAAAATACGTGCGATTTTATAGCTAATTGATGAAAAGAAAGGAAAGACAAAAAAATTCTTATTACCTCCTAAAACAAGAGTGTGTTGATCTGAAAATTTTTTAACTGCTTGGATAATAATTTTGGAGGAAAAGCAACTGCTTCTAAATAATTTAGTTCTTGATCAAGAGCCAATATGGCGAAGCAAACTTGAAGTGCACGGAAAAAAAAAAAAAAAAAGGAATAGAAGCTAACTTCTGCTAGTCGAACGACATGATTTGAAGTGTGGTGGAAAGCAGATCGATGAAGGTTTAGGGTACACAGTAATTCGGAAGTGGGATGTGTTACGTGAGACCAAAATGTCGAGAAAAAGAAGAGAACTGGATGTCTGAAGTTCAAAAGTGAACTGAATGGAGGGATCAGTGGAATTAATTATTGAAAGAACTTTATTTAAATCATCTTTATTACCGCCAAACAGTTTGGAGGAATCCACCACTCCAGTTCTGTAGGTGATGTCTAGCAAACAGTCATGTCCGGTCAGACGAATCAAAATCTTCCATCTATTATCCATACTAGATTAACAAACAATTTAGTCGTATGGAAAAAGAAAGCGGTCGATCAATGCGTCCCATCGTAAAAGTTTCAGGTCGCCCAGGGAAAGGGGATAAGTTGATTGTATGCCAATGTCGACGGTATGCCCTTCTCGATATTGATTGCTTGCCTGTTGAAATCTCGTTTCTGTCATATCGATCGTAAGGAACAAACGTTAAAATCCCCTATTTCATTGGTGCAATAGGACTTTAGTGCATTTTAAACAGTTCCACGCAATTTCTATCGTTTTGTAACGTCAAAGATAGCTGAACGCTTTACATCAAGTATTCTTTGGGAAATTCGAATGATTTTTACCATCTTTAAAATGATTAATAATCAAATTTGTAACAGAACTCGCCGTTAGATTTTAGCGCACTGCCGTGTTCATTCCATACATGGAAATGCTAACATAATTTGCTAAACAAGATAACCTATTTTCAAATACAGATTTTTGTGATGTACTTTTATTTAATGCAAAAATTTATGACAATAAAATTTCATCTGCCTAAACATCTCAACAAAAGTTTTGAGTGTCCGAATTATTGAGTTACCGATTAATACGTTTTAAAGAAATCATTTTATCATGATATTTATTTTGTAACAAACAGGGCTTAAAATAGAGCAAAATTAATATGTTAGAAAAAAAATTTGGAGTTCATGTTTTAATAGTTAGTATAAGATCCATGCAAATAAATTTCAAAAATACAAGTGTCCGAAAACTAATGTGAGCCACCGCAACTTAGATCTGTGGAGCTGTATATCAATCCAATACATATTTTAAGTGGCCCTTCCGAAACATCAGAAACAACAGTTGAATTCCATCGACTAGCTGAACATGACGATAGCACATTTTTTTTGGGGGGGGATGACATCTCGTTCTACATTACTACATGGTAGGACCAGATTCTTGATATTCGAAGCATAGACTAGTACTGTAAAATTCAGTGAATTTTGACGATTGCCAGAAAATAGTGATTTTGCTCGAGTTCATGCACCTTTTTAAATGTTTTCGACGAATGTTTTTAAATGTTTTCGATTCAGTTGCCTATTTTACTTTATTTGAATTATTATCTTTAAATAGTGTTATAATTTCATGCTCAGGAACACGAAGTCTAGATAAGATACTTCTGAAATGTCGTTGTTGACTAATGCTCACTTATCTGGCCTGTCTGTATACAGTCAGCCCAAACCCACGAAATTGCTCCTGGCAGAGCGGAAGATACGCCTGTCGTTGTCAACAGCCCTTGAGCACCTTACAGGTGACAGTGCGATTTAGCTCAGTTCCGCCCCCAAATTTAATGGAGAGCACCCCGGTATAACGGGTCAAAGTGTTTCCCACTGCCTTTTTCCCTACCACCAACCTTTCGAGAGCATATTTAGAGTGCCCGCATGCCGCACGGTCACTAAACATTTACAGGCATCCATGCCTTCTCCGAGATTCGAAGCCGGGCCCTTCGCCACAGCAGTCTGCGACACTAACCAATAACCGGTTGGGCGGCATTCTGAAATATTCAATAGAAGTACCTCATTTGAAATATCGTGACTTGCGCATTCAGATCTTAATTTCGGGATTTTAATATTTTAAATTTTTGAAGGCTAGAATCCGCTATAATAGCGGTTTATTTAAAAGTTTCAATGAAAGTACCGTCTTTATTATTAGACATAATTTCTAATCCTTTTTTGATTAATTGAACTTTCCTGACTAAAATCCCTAAGCCTTCCAATCGAATGGATTTTCGTAGCTGTTTGGAGAAGTGTTTTGAAATAAGTTTTTTTGGGCGGTAGACAAGAAATGCCGCCACCCAGACGGTATAGTAGTTAGGGAGCCTTCTGCGATATCGACGGGCCTGGGTTTGAATCCCGGAGAAATCATGGATGTTTGTAAATGTATAGTGTCTTTGCGGCATGGGGCATTCTAAATATATGGCGAGCCGAAAGCTCTCTCATGTGGTTTGGTGGTAGAGGAGAGGGACTTCACTACAAGCTAACCTGAGAACACATACAAGGCTAGAACGACCTTTTCACCCTGTTCTTTAAGTTATCCATACGCACCAAATCGTCCTCGGAAATTCAGTTCCTCCGGATTTTGCCAAATCTAGCCTATTTTTAAGTAACAATCATTTTATGCGATGAAGCTACAGTTGAAATTGTTAGTTCATTGTACTGTAAAATGTAGGGCATATTATTGTCTTAATTTATATGAAATTTTTCACTATAATATAAATATGACGCATACGAATTTGATGATATTTAAAACCCAAATCATAACTTTCTAGAGATATTAGGGTTTTTTTTTTTTTTTTTTTTTTTTTTTTTTTTTTTTTAAGCAGGAAAGATGAAAAAGTAACAGCCGCCTTCGCCGGGAATCGAACCACGGACCTGGAATTCCGGCCCAGCATGCAGAACCACTACGCCACGAAGGCACGCTAGGAGGGGGGAGAAATACCTTATATACTCCCCTTTTTAAAGGGCGACTGGTGTTTTTAGGAGACCCAATCGCCAAATCCTGGGTGTGGAGAATCATTATCCACATCCCTTTTAGTTCGGGCGCCACTGTAGAGACATTCGA